TCCTTTGAGTAAATGACATTTAAGTTCAGAGTGAAATTAAAAGCAGCAGTGCTCAGGTTTAACCACCAGGTGGCGCTACAGCGTCGAGAGGCATTCACAGCGTCGGTGATCAGCAGGAGAAGAAGCCCGCGTCCTCTCGCTGACAGTCCGCCATGCTCCACCCTGCTGCAGCCACTGTGGTCGCAGCTCCACTCCATCAGTCAGTGACGCTGCAGGTCAACAAAAGTTACTACCACGACACACGGGAATTGGGGTAAGCGGTGGCTGTGGTGCTCAGCGGGCTCGGCGGTTTATGACGCAGTGAATCACGAGGCCTGCGCTGTTCGTGGTCCACCTGGGAGCGAGACGGTGCAAGTGTATTCTGTACTCAGATAGTGACTGCGTGTGTGTGTGTGTGTGGTGTGTGTGTGTGGTGTGTGGTTGTGTGTGTGTGTGTGTGTGTGTGTGCTGTGTGTGTGTGTGTGTGGGCGGGCCGCGTCATACTCTTAACTGTGTTGATCCTTCACAGCTAATTTATAAGTGAGAGGACGTTCACTCCTTCACTGTTGAAGTGTTACCTACATCAGCATCACTCATTTCTCCAAGATGTTGTTCACAGTTTTATTTGAATTCATTTAAACTTTGTGCGTTTCTTTTTTCTTGTCAAACCAGGAAGCTTTGTCATAAAATGAGAGAATACAATGAATACTTCAACGTATCCTTGCTGACAATACATATTTTATTATTATTTATTATTTAACAACAGATACTATTTATTTGTTGTTTTTAAGATTGCTATATTCAAAGAAGTTTTTTTCCAACAAACAAAGGTAATATGAGGTTTCAACAATCAGATTATTAAACCATAAAGTGGGTATATTTTTAGTATGAAATCTTCTCTGTGTTTTACTCTTAAACAGCTCAGCAATGAAACACTTTCCAGGAAAACATAAAAGTGGAATTTATTTATTAATTTGTCTAAAAAGACTGCAAAATACCCACTTGAGTCGACTAACACACTGTTGAATTCTCATATTATCTTTTGCATTTCCAAAAAATACATTCAGTCCCAGATTCCCTCTAAAGTGCAGGCAGTGTTTTCTTTAAGTGTTGTAAAATGCAATAATGACAATGATTTTAAGTTATTTATCGAGCAAGATATTCTCTGGTCACAGCTTCCCCAATAAGAGGATTGGCTGTTTTTTCAGTTTTATATAATTTATAATTTGCATTTTTTTAATCATGTATTTATTTAGTTAACATCATGTTGGATTTCAGGAACATGTGGTGGGTATTTTTACAATGTATTCAAATGTTACAGATCAACAGTTAAAACTAATCATTAGTTGATGTCCTAATAGTATCTGCTATTTTTGAAAATGAAATGAGAGTCCTCACGTTTGCTTTATCCACTGCAGGTAAACATGTTTGCCCCCAACATTGACCAGATGCATGTGGTGAATCACCTGAAAGGCGAACCTTCCGAGGAGAAGAGAAACGTGTTGGTGGAGAGCGCGAGGCTGGCCCGTGGAAACATCCAGGACCTGTCTAAACTCAGTGTCAAAGACCATGACGCTATTATATTCCCAGGTTTGGTCACAACAGCATGATAGCCTGCTCCCTTTCCAAAAAGATCTCATCCGGTTGTGTTGTTACACAATTTGAGAGTGCAAAAAATGATTTTATAGGTATACATTTTAAATTTTTTTGTCTTTCAGGTGGTTTTGGTGCAGCGAAGAACCTCTGTACGTGGGCAGTGCAGGGGAAGGACTGCTCTGTTAATGACGAGGTCAAGGCGGTGCTGCAGGCGTTCCACGGCGAGGGTAAACCCATCGGCCTCTGCTGCATCTCACCTGTTCTGGCTGCCAAGGTGTTTCCTGGCTGTGAGGTCACCGTTGGCATCGAGAAGGATGACAAGTGAGTCTAACTTGCCCGAGCAACCTAGATATGTCTTAAAGGGGAACTTCACTAATTTTACATCGTCTATTTACAGGTTATGGGGGAGTACTTCTGCAAATGTGGAAAACAGTTATGTAAGGCCTTTTGTGGCTCTAGAGAAAGCTGTGTGAAATCGGATAAATTGCCTCAAGTGATGTCACTTGAGTCAGCATCAGTTGGGGCTAAAGACTACAAGTTTGAAAATGGAAAAAATGTGGAGGTGTGGAGTTTGAGAGAAGTGAGCTGACCTCTGTAGCCGCTCCTCATCTCTGCTTGAGAAGAGTGGCTAGAGGCTACATTAGTTATTAGCGTAACACACCCAAACAACACTCTAGTCTTTTAGCACAGTCACATCTAGATAAACATTGTGTTTTGCCTCTTTTTTTTTTCTCAGGTACCCCGACACTACTGACACGGCAGCGGCCATCAACCAACTGGGCTGCAAACACATGAGTAAGAGTGTCAGCGAGAGTCACTTGGATGAGAAGAACAAGCTGGTCACCACCAGTGCCTTCATGTGCAACGCTCCGATCCACGAGATATTTGACGGAATCGGAACGATGGTGCAGGGCGTGCTGAAACTTGCTTGATTCTACCAATATTCAAAGGATGGTGGAAACAGGAAGAAAATGAGGGACTGCCGTTTTAGTGAGCTCAACAGTAGCTGCCTGCTGAACGGAGATAGTTATAGACCCTACAGTATCCCCTTGATCAAAAGCACTTCAAGATACTCATAATGTGTATTACATTACATACATTGTCTAATTTATGTAGCAAAAATCTCTGTTTGACTCAATCTTCATTAATTGTATTGTAACCCAGTGGATCAGTCTGTTAGAAAATCAACAGCAGGTGTGGTCTTGTACCAAAAAAATGCAATAAAATGTAAAAGTTTTTTTGTAATTCTTTATTTCAGAAAAATATGAATATAAAATATTTACATTTTGATATTTCACTCTGTGCAAGTTTCAAATATTAAATGACTTCGCACACATATAACACCCTCGTTACATTGGCTTCATCAAACACTGAATAATCACAAATTCTTTGAGCTGTATAACTGCTCGTGTTGATTACTTGTCATCCTCAGATAAGAACCCAAGACTGAGCACTCTTTCACTCTCTCAATGTTTCCAATCACATCAATCACGCCCTCCACCCCCTCTGTGCACAACACTGAAGAAGCATGAACACTGAACTTCTCCAACAGGTCCTCCTGACTCAGTGGCTTCCTCCAGTGGCCATAAAAGGTATCACATCTGGCCACATAACTCTTCCCCTGGTAGGTTTGTAGCTCAACTTCACAGTACATCTTGTCAAAGCTGGGCTGGTTACCTTCAGGCGTCTCCACCTTCACTTTAGACAAGAGCTCCTTCAGAGCCTGCCGGTTAATCTGAGCCTCACTGAAGGAAGACACCGTCACTTTGTTATCCAGCAGGGCGGAGCAAGCGTTGAACTGAAATGAGTGCCTAGCTTGGTGCTCTGAGGCAGGTAAGGGGCAGTCAACGTACTTGGATGGAGGCACTCGGAGTGTGACGTGCCTGATCTGGCTGAGGTCAAAGTTCCCGGCTGTATCTTCAAGCTTTGCGCGGGCTGCCAGCGCTGCATCCACAACCCAGTGCATCCCTAGATGAGCAGGGATGCGCTTGAAGGCCACATCCTGATCTTCCAGAATCCACTTAAAGTCACTAGATGTGGAATCTGCCATTGCAGAAGGACTGTAGTCCTTATAGTAAACCCCAAACCCACGGCTCAAATCCAGGATGTCTGGATTCCCCTCCAGACCCATCTTGGCCAGTTGAGCGGCCTCCAGGCCTCTCCGAGCAGCATTTCCTATATGGAGGGGTTTGGTTTGTGTGGCAGCGTTGGCCAACGGAGCCCCAGCAGAGGAGGCTGCAATAGCCAGAGCATGACTGCACTGTGCAGGGGACAGACCCAGGAGCTTAGCAGAGGCTGCAGCACTCCCCATCACCCCAACAACACTGGGAGGGTGGAATCTGAGAGTGTGGGGAAAGGTTGGAAAACGTAAACTTTCAATAACAAGTTGAGTGTGTATTTGTAGTTGCATTTTCTTTGTCTTTTGATAATTAACTGAATATATTTGGGTTTTAGACTGTTGGTAAGACAACCAGCAGTTTGAGTATATCGCCTTGGGCTTAACAGAAATTTGAATTTGTAGTTTTTTGTGTCTTTCACTCTTCATTTGTCATTTTATACACCAAATGATTCATCTGTTGATTGTTTTTTTGATTAGTCGATAATGAAAATAACCATTAGTTGGAGTTCTAGTTTTAATATTTTTTCAAATTTCTAATGGCACATTAGCACTTTCTACTGAAGAAACAGTCTGTATGAGAACTGTTGACAGTGAGGTGGAGAGATTATCAAGATGGGGAGAGAGATGTTGCCAGCTGACTTCTTTAAATATAATTTTTCAGTGCTGTACCACAAACTAATATCCATTCACCAACTCCACCTCTAAAACCTCATGTAAAACTAAAACTTGCATGGCTCGACACCACTAGAGGTAGGTGTTGTACTCTTTGTAATTTGGGTGAATCAACCCTTTACCACTCACACATTTCCAGTGTACATTAACTTACAATTGAACAAAGAAATTGCACATAAACTCGGTCCAGAACAGCCTGATGTTGGTTAATTTTAAACACCTCACCTTTCAGGGATGTTGTAGGCCTCTTTGGAGAACCTCATGAGTCTGCCCTGCACCTCGATACCAACATTAAAGGCCAGCAGCAGGTCAAGACCGGAGGTCTGGCTGGGCAGTGTCTCTGCCAGGGCCAGCAGGGTCGGTAGCACGGCTCCTGAGGGATGGGTAGCAGGGTGCCAAGTGTCATCAAAGTCCATAGAGTGAACCTGCAACAAAACAATGTGACAGTACATATCATCAGGGGTCATACCACCAACATATTATGTTTTCTTTACATTATGATGGATTTATTTGAGCAAGCTTACCGCAATGCCATTGACAAAAGCAGCGTAATCAGGAGGAAGAGATATGTCTGATTTACCCCAAACACTGCTCCTCTTCTCAGACATGAACAACTGCAATTAGAGAAATTAATATGAGGATAAGTGTGCAATTAATTATAGATACATTTGAGCTTAGTTGTGAAGTTCCCTAATTTTCAACAAACAAAATTATGAATAAATAGCAGCATAATAGGGATTAAATCAACTAACTGGCTTATTGAGGAAGTAAAGGAGGCAATCTAATAATGTAAACATCTTGGAGAAAAGGATTTAAATCACAAACAGTGCACAGTAGTGGGTCAGTATCAACTGATAGTATTTGTCAGGGATTAAATAATTTTGACAATCAGTACCTTAATATTTAAGTATGAAATGAACACAGAAAACCTCAGATGAGGCCAAATAAAAAGAGATTTGATGATGATCACAAGCTGACACAAATAAAAAGAGATATAGTAAACATACTGTACATAAAAGTATAGTACACCTCCACTACTGTACCTGGCTGTATTTGAGAGCCTTGTTAAAGACAGCTGTCCTGGTTCCTAACAGCCCAACACCTAGCGTGTCCAGCATCATCCTTTTGCTCCTCTTAATCACACCATCTGTCAGCTGAGTGGTGTTGAGGGCATGGATAGCAGCTCCAAAGCTCTCTGTTATTCCCTGTAAAGGTGAAACAGTCCAGTCAGTCCAAAACTGTAAGATGCAAACCTCCCCAGAGACAGTAGAGTGGTAAAGGATCAAACCAGGGAAATTAGTTAAAATATGCAGCATCTATTATTTCTTTAACCCAAAAGTACAAAAGATGCCTAAACTGAATCTTATGTAGTGAAATGCTGAAGTAAAAAAAAAAATTAAGTCTGAGAGAAAAACATCAATACCTTGCGAAGCATTGTTGCAACTAAACAACGTCTTCAAGTGACAAAACATCCAAGTGCTGTTGCCTTTTATAGGTCATTTCACTATCGGAAGGCTGGTCTTCCGAATTTCCAAAGTGGCATGAACAACTATGATGAGAAGGTGGAACTTTCACAATGACTGGTCATCGTCTTTGATTTTCTAGATTTGACCACACTGGCTAATCTACTAAATCCAAAGCTTTTGCTTTGTTTTCTATTATCATCAACCATCCACCATCATATGATTTTTGTCTTTGAGACAGAAAAGTTATTTTGAAAAACCTGTATATTATAATGTAAATATTAAGATAGAATAAAAAAAAAAATAGAAAAAAACATCACAGTGAACCCATGCCACATTATGCTGACTGTTTTTAATCCTGTGTGACTGTGAGAATATAATGACAGAAGTGGTAAGAGGGCTTTATGTTGGTTTGATTTGGCTTTTACAGCCAGTTTCTTTCTGAGCTGACAGACACTGGACAGTGTGGGAAGTTCTGAACAGGGAAGTGACACAAACAACCTGCCTTCAAACAAGTGGGAAAATAATAATTTCAACTCAGCAAACTTTTAAAGATTGTTCCAGTACAGTACAATATTCATATGAAGAAAATATTAAGGAAAAACTTAAAATAAAAGGTATCACAGTGAACCCATGCCACTTTTATATGTTGCTGTGAGAATATAATGACAGAAGTGGTAAGAGGGCTACATGTTGGTTTGATTTGGCTTTCACAACCAGTTTCTTTCTGAGATGACAGGCACTGGAAATTCAACTCTCTGCAATGGGAAGTTCTGAACAGGGAAATTACGTCTCAGCTAATCACTCAAGAAAAGCACATGACAGAAGGATGTCTGCCTTCAAACAATGAGGAAATTCCAATCCTCAGTAGTGAGGTTAAAAATATATATAATGACTTGGCTGTTTGTTTGTTGGTAAAACCACTGAGTTTGTTAACAGATAAAGGAGGATTAACCCTCTAACTCAGTGGTTACCAACCTTTTTTTCTCTGATGTATGCCCACATCCTGATCAGATGACAACTGACTGATTGATGGGCAGCTCAGTGGTTATTGTAAATAAAGGTCACCAATTTATAATCTGATATGGCCGTTTGTTTTCATTACCACAAACATGTGGATATAAATTTTAATGAATGTTTAGTTGAGTTAACTGGTCAAACGTTATATGTACCCCTGTGGCAATGATGGAATGTAACTAAGTATATTTACTCAAGTATTGTGCTTAAGTACAAATTTCACATAAATAGACTTTAATTAAGTATTTCCATTTTATACAACTTTATATTTCTACTAAACATGTCAGAGGCAAATATTTACAGCTTTAATTACTAGTTACTTCTATTACAATTTTCCATACCCTTCCTGTCCAGTGAAAACCATGCATCACCAAATTTGGTAATTTAGATTTTTTCTGTTCTTTTATGGGTTGAGAAAATTCTTCTACTTCTACCAAGTGTAACTAAACCCCTAAATTCTGCGAATAAAAAGCTGGAAAATGTGTTGTCTCCAAAAACTACACTCATGAACAACTGACTCTTCAGATATTCTGATAAGACAGTGAAGCTACAAACATATGATGATCTTATATAATATGATGCATTGATATAGTTTAAACCAAACAACAGTTTATATACTTAAGAAATGGATCTTAATACTTCTTTCACCACTCCCCACTGGCAGCTGAAGGAGCCCCCCCCCCGGGGAATCACTGCTCTTATGTACAAAATATTTTTATTATTATTTATTTATTCTTGTTTACTGTCAAATGTGGTAGCAAAACAGGCCTTCCAAGAATTCAGTTAGAGAAAGAAGACTCACAGCCATTCATCTTCTCATCAGTCTTTTGCTTTGGTGATTTTCTCTTATGTGCATAAGAAGCTTCAATAATCTCATTGTGTCAAACTTTACACACAAGCCAAATTAGATGCAACACTTAAACATGGTTAAACATCTCACTTCTATTTCAAAATGAAACTCTGCACTCAAAACCTAACAATCCCTTTTCAAAATGGCTTTTTTGCATACATGCACCATCTGAATTTTTCTTTAAAGTCAACAACAACAACACACTGGTGTACCTTATACAAAACACTGCTTTCTTTAGTACTTTGTATACCTTTAAAATGTTCTCATACAGGCTTTTGTGAAAGATTGTTAGTGCCAGTACAATGCATCTATATTCAATGAACACAAAAATAGAAAGAATTCAATAGAAATGGAAAAAACTGTATGCAAGTAGAATTACAGTACAGTAATCAATACAATATGCTACTGTAAAGTCATGGAAACAAAAATAATTACACTAAAATTACAGTGCATTGGTAAATAAAAATAGAATTGGAATGAGTTGTAAGGGATGGCGTGGATGGTTTTTGGATCCTGTCTTCTGATCTGGCCACATCACAAGCAATGCCATCCCTGGCAAGGCACCGAATGATTCCACCTCAGTGTCTCTGCCTGCCTCTGCCATTACTTGCAACAAGCGTGTGCTTTGCGGTCATACACTTTCCGATGGCAAGCTGAAAAGAATTCCTTAATCGAATTGAGAAACTGAGAGTACAGAGGCGACTGTATAGTGGTTGGTGAACCAGCCCTGGACCAGAGACTATAGTAACATTATCCCAGATAACAACAAACCTGGGCTGTTCTGATCCGTCCTGGTCCACTTCTTGTCCTTATCCTCCTCCTGCTCCTCTCTCTTCCTCTTTCTCTCAGTGTCTCCATGTTTGCAAAGTTCTCACAAAAGAGGGGCGCTTACCTCAGGTCTATTTGTAGTGCTAAGGCCCAGACTGATTGGTGCTCAATTGGTATGTATGTATATGTATAATGTCCTCTTGTGTGTGTGGGTGTTGCCAATTTTAGATGTGTTCTGCATTTTGAATAGAAATGTTTGCCAGTGAAAGTAAGAGATTTCCTTCTTGAACAAAGTGTCTGAATGTCAAAAACAGTGTGTAGTGTTTAGCAAGAAGTGGGTTGCAGAAAGCAGAAAATGTGTTTGTACTTTTGGTGTTTTTGTTTAAGTTTAATGCTTTGGTCTGAGCGTTCACTTTTAGTGAGTAAGTGATCTGTAAATGTCCTTTATGAACAGTGACAGAGATCATCAGTTGGTGATAATATGTTACAGAAAGCTAGTCCTCACAGCAAAACCATTATATTTTTCTGGTGAGGGATAGAGTTAAGTGAAGGTTAACAAGTAAGGGTTGGTTGGTTGGACAGGTAGTGGTTCTGGTTTAGCTTATTCTTATTCAGGGAATAAATGTCATGCAGAACTCGATGCATCTTCTTCTTGATGAAAAACCTGTTTGTCTGAGCTATTGTTGCCTGTCAATATTTGAGTAACACCTTGAATTTTAAACCTTGAAAGTGAGCATTTTTGCCATTTTGTCAAAAATTATGTTTTTTCAGGTCAAGACTGTGTGTGTGTGTGTGTGTGTGTGTGTTAGATAGCTGCATTTCCATCCCAGTTGCAATGGGTGTCACTCTTTCCATATTTTCCAACCATTTCTTGATTTCTGGAATAGGTCAGATCAACTAATGCTCTCTGGTTTTGTGTGTTCCTATGGGATTTGTACAAAGCTCAATGTAATTGATTTCATTAATTAAATAGTAATCAGAGGGTATGCTACATTTATATTTCTGCCAGACTGGGCAGGAAAAAACAAATGACACATAATCAATGTGGGTGCTTGCTTTAAATGATGCTGGAGTAGCATGGATTTGCTCCCCACCTCTCTCTCTCTCTTCTCTCTCTCTCTCTCTGTGTGTGTATGTGTGTGAGAGAGAGAGAGAGAGAAGAGAGAGAGAGAGAGCTGCACAGTCTGTATTTTTGGCAAGACAGTCATGTTATAGTTAAACGTCAATTTAGCAGTCAACCTCCTCCTATCACGCACGCGCACTCACGCACGTGGTAAGCCCAGACTTCATAAACAAGCCGCTGCCACTTAGTTGCTCTGTGTTCCCTCTGATCCCACATCAGTGCAGGCTCAGAGAAGATGGCACTGGCCGACACAGAGCGCGGAGTGTCCAACTGCGGCGACTCTGGCTCCCCGTTTGCAGAGATTATTGAGCTGAACGTCGGCGGGCAGGTTTATGTGACCAGACACAAAACTCTCATCGCCGTCCCAGACTCGCTGCTGTGGAACATGTTCAGTAAGAAGGCTCCCAAGGAGTTGGCGAGAGACAGCAAGGGGCGCTTCTTCTTGGACAGGGACGGGTTCTTGTTCCGCTACATCCTCGATTATCTCCGAGACCTGAACTTGGTCCTCCCTGACTACTTCCCCGAGAAAAGTCGACTGCAGAGGGAGGCTGACTTTTTCCAGCTGCGGGACCTTGCCAAACGCCTCAGCCCCCGGGTGAGTAAGGACAATTCCATCAGCGAGGAGATTAGCCAGAGTGACACTGAGGAAGGTGCGCAGCAGTGCTCCTCCGGCGGCATGGAGACTTTACGCACCATGTCGGTCAGCGGGGCCATGCGCTCCCCGTCACTGGACTCCAGAAAGTCGGGCTACATCACGGTAGGATACCGCGGCTCGTACACCATTGGCAGAGACATCCAAACCGACGCCAAATTCAGAAGAGTGGCGCGCATCACGGTTTGCGGGAAGACGTCTCTGGCCAAAGAAGTGTTTGGGGACACGCTGAATGAGAGCAGAGACCCAGACAGGCCACCTGAGAGATACACATCCCGGTACTACCTGAAGTATAATTTTCTAGAGCAGGCATTTGACAAGCTGACAGAGGCGGGCTTCCACATGGTGGCCTGCAGCTCCACAGGCACCTGCGCCTACACCAGCAATGATCCAAACGAGGACAAAATTTGGACAAGCTACACTGAATATGTCTTCTGTCGGGAATAACAAACAGTAAACATGCCGTGTTGATGTAAATAGACATTTCATAATCTAGAGGGGAATGTCTTTTAAAACAAGTATTGCATTTGCTGTGTTGAATGGTAGCGTTTGTCAAGGGCGAGTGACTGCAACCTATTGCTCCATTATTCTAAGAATAGTCACATAGCAGTATTAGCACTTCTGTGGTTAAACCGGAGACAAAATGCCCCTAAACAGATTATACACAAACGAGTTTTACACGTTGTCAGGAGATAATAGTAACATTTGGATGCTCAAAGTGAGGAGAGCATCGTTTGAGGTGACACACCCACCCAAAGCACTATTGCTGTGGAAAACAAAAACAAAATGCCACCATGTCCATCTCATAGAGCTGCATGTCAATGTTTCAGTCATATCTGACTCAGTGCTATGTGAATTGAGCGGGATCCAAGAACAGACAAGCAGCAATTAGTATTCAGTGTTATTGTAACTTCTAGGCTTGCTTGATCACATGTTTGGCCAAGTTTTGTATAATCTAGTAGGTTCTTATATCACTGACATGACTGTAAGTGTATGTGCTTGCTTGGTAGAGTTGTATTTGTTAAACCTGTCCAGATGAAATAAAAGCTTACACTCTACTGCTATTCTCAGCCCCTTGCCAGTCATCCTATCTTCTTCCTAACATCTGCACAAAGTGTACAGAAAGGACAAAATACTGGCATTCATCTGCCTCCAACCTTTTAAACTTTACTCAGTGGGGAATCAAAGAGTCAACCTCAAAGCGAGAGGCCCGACCCAGGAACCTCAGCCCCATCACGGCACAGGAGCTGCCAGCTCAACAAAATCTGTCACACTGTTTTAGAAGCTACCCAGAACTGAAATGCGAGTGGCAGTAATGTGTTTACGTCTGACTTACAAAATCCTGACCGTGAACTTTCCTTGGCTCTGACTTCCTCTGTCACTCCTGCAAACAGCCATTTCAAAGCATTGTATCTATTTTATATTCAACTTGCCCTGTTATTAAATCACACAAGCAGAAAAACCTGCCCATCTGAATATAGTGTGCATGTAAATATTGTAGGAGGATCCGTTTCCACCTATCCATTTTGTCACACAAATTCAGCTGCATGCCTGTGTGGATGCAAATACTGCAGCTGTGCACACATGATGTCATTATCATTTCAAGTGTAATGAAAGGGTCCAGCTGCACACAAATAGGAGGGTCCAGTCTGCCAGGGACTCTGGATGAATGGAGAGTGAATTGGTGCACCTCTGCTGGGAAAGCAGAATTATTTGACTGTGTAGTGTACAGCCAGCCCTAGATTATGTGTTTCAGTCAAACAGACATGAAAAAAATGGCCTTACATTCAGAGCCATGGTTGGGATTATAAGGCACATCAGGGGCTTATAGACCAGAGGCAGTGACGTAACCTCTGTAGGGGTCCGGGGACATCCTCCTATTCCGTCTGGTTTAACTTGGCATGGGATGTGCTGTCTGGACAGGAACAAAACATATCTTTGGATCGGTGATCTGTTTGGGGATCATTGTGGATACATAAATGACTCAGAATTGTCACTAGACAGGCCTTTTCCATATAAGACAATGTTAATATGTCAACAAAAGCACAGGTGTAAAAAGATGATGGCTGTAAAAAGATGATGGCTGAATTCCATTTAGTTGCTTCAGTTTCAGGGCGCTGGTATTGTGCATGCTGGCTCACTGTCACGCTGTCATGGCCTACACCTGAATACGATTCCGACAAATACATGTGTAACCAGAGTAAGTCAGAAAGTGAACACTGTGAACATCTTTGGTGTAGCGACGGTTGCAGTCTAGTAGTTATTGTGTGTCTTGTTTGCTGCCACAGAAAAAAAATAGTTCCTATGTAACATTACTTCGTACTCTTCACAGCTGTGAAAAGATAACACTAACTAGTTAACAGCTAACATTATGAGTCAGGCTCGAGACAATTCAAATAACATAAAACTGGAAGTCTCCCTAATACGTTTCAGAGCTGCGGAGCGATCAGCATGACTGCGTTTTCTCTTGTGATTTTTGTTCACCGCTAGCAGCTACCTAGCTAGCCTGTCACACACAAAGGTCACCCATAAGCCCACCTTCCTCAAAGGGGAAGGCTCAGCCAGTAAAACACAGGTGCAGTTAGGCTGTGCATGTGATAACCGGGGGGAGTATTCAGGTCCATTATTTACTCAAATATACCAACTCAACTCTAAAATACTTCATTACATGAAAAACTACCTCACCCTAACCTGAAAACTATGTATTACTGCCAAATGTACTTAAAGGAATAAAATGGTCTTTATGATACTATATGATACTGCTACATATTCTTCTACACCTTCAAGTTTTGCGCCCACCATAGTTTCTCCTTCACCTTTTGAAGGGGAGGGTGAAGCGAGGGAGCTTCAATCTGGAACTACACTGCTATATGCCAATAAATGCTACACACTGGTCCTTTAAAGGTGGGTTCAGTCATCCTTGAGAAATATAGTTGATTGTTGAGTCTCATTCCCAGGTTATTGTTGATGACCTAGGAATGAGACTCAACATTCAACAATCTTTCTCCAGAATAACAGGCCCCACGGGTTTTAATAGTGTTTTGCACTGCAGCTTTGTGTTAATGCCTGCCTAATACTAGTTTGGATTTCCTGTTAAGTATCTTGACTGAAGCATGAGGAATTGAGGAAGCATGCTTTATTTGAAGACCTAAATTGGCTTTATCATTTGTCTCAGTATTTCAACAAAGGCTAAAATTTACTGGTGGCTTCTTTGAGGTGGACTCACAGAATGAGACAACAGAGGACACAAGCAGACGTGACTACCAGTCTAAATGACTATGCAGGTTTTGTCACGTAATCCAGATGGGGCGCACAGTGTAGAAGTAGCAGCTGTAATAACTGAGATGACTATACACAGACATCTGCAGTGATGTACGTAAGCCTTGACAGACTCAAATGGATCTGGCTTTGTAAATCAATAGAGATTGTCACACACCTTTATATATGTAAATTATTCTTTGTTGAATAGGACAAAAAGCTGATCTTTTGCTTTAAATAAACGTGTTGAAAACAAAGAATTCTCAGAAACCTAAGATGAAACGATGAGGACAAAAACAGGATGTCTCATAAAATGTGTCCAAACAATCACATTTTTGAATGAATACATGTAGTGATCTTGAGATTCTGGCATGGTACACTTCTCTTCAGACTTTGATAATGTTCAAATTTCTATTAGATTTCTTTGAAGTTCACAAATCAGACAGTTGCCATTGTTCTGTTGTTGTCTGTGCTGGCTTTTATAGGACTAAATGCAGGGAAACACCCTGGATCAGTCACCAGTCCGTCACAGATATCAGCCTACTAACAATCACTGACTCACGCCCACATTTACACACAGTACAGTATGAACAATTTAGAGTCTCCACTTGCATGTTTTTGCACTGTGGGAGGAAACCCACTCGAACATGTGCAGCAAAGCCTGTCATTCCTGGCTGAACAAATTGTTTAAGCTGTTGCAACACATGCAGTTGCAATTCTGTTGTGCACTTGTAGAATTTAATACATTTCAGCCAGTTTAGAGAAAGCAGGATTTTATACTTCCCTAGGGACTCTTATTATCTGTATTTTTAATTAAATGATAAGAAATCTATTTGGATTAAAGACATTTAGTTTTTACTAGTCTCCAGTGTAATTTTATTTGTATGTATCTTTATTCTGGTAACACACATCACAAGAAATCACTTGTCTTTTTAGTGTTTAGTCACAGATATTTAATGGGTAATTATTTGGATGTGTTAGTCACAGTATATGACTGCAAATGTATTGTTCTGACTATATATTTCTTATGGACACTGTTTAGCATACAGGGGAGGAAAAATAGAAAGAAAACAACAGAACAGAACAAACAATAAGGTATAACATAGTATGGTATAGTAAACATGAAGGAGATACTGACAGTTACTTAAAATTTCTGACTATCCTTATCTTTCAGTAAAATGGAAACACAATAAATGGGTTGTCAGGTTTTTCAGCGTGAGTGATGATGGGATAACAAAGAACAAAAGAAGACAGCTGTGAGACAAAGTGAGTCAAGCACGGGAGGAAAATGAGTTCTTATTGTCAACCAATGTTACTGTTTCTTCCTTTCTCACATGCTTATGTCTATTTGTAATGTTTGGTCTTTTCTCTTCTCTTCTCTCCGTGCGCATGCTCCATGTTGAGCTGCCTGACATGAACCTCATGCAGCAGATCAGGACTGCTTGAATTCCATGCATGGGTCTGGGATGCGTTTCAGCTTCCTGAGTTATTTTAGATCAAAGTCGGTTTCATTAGCACATCACAACAGTTACTCCAGACCAAAGGCTTCATTATTCTAATTAAAATCTGAGTCAGAAATACATTTTTAACTTGACTTCACAACAGGGGATATGCATCAATTCAGTGTTCACAGGAGAATAGTTCCCACTGTTAGGTGCAGGCATAACATTATAGTGTTACTGGGGTAAAAACACTCATGTTGTTAAGAGAGTCCAGGAGCAACAAGAAAATCCATTAGTGAGTGTGGTATTGGATGATCTATCAAAAATATTATTTAAAAAAAAAATTATTGTCCATCTACCTTTAGGTTGAACCACAGTCAGCTTTTACAGTAAAAGGTGCAGCACTTTCTGTAATAAAAAGAAGCAGAGAATTAATTTTTTAAATAATTAAATTTGGTTCATATTCTTTTTAGTGAGACCACAGAATATAAACAAACATGGACACATGAACGCACACAGACATTTAGATTTTATAACCCCCCCTTTATCCCCAACATGCTCACACTTGCTTTATTAAAACATTTATTTATTCTTTAATATTTTCTGTTGAACAGTTGATTGCAGAGACAGAAAAAGGTGCTGTGTAAAAAATATTGCACAGCATGTGCAGGCCTTAGTATAGGCTAGCCTATATTAAACCAAATATGAATGATACAACCATAGTATATGTATATACTGTAGCTTTGGAAATAAACCTAAATTATTTGATTATATCATCATCTTCATTTTTGACGGTGTGCACAATTAAACAATTAAATACCTAAATCTTGTTGCATTATCTGTTTGTATGTACTGTATGTGTACTGCTAATGCCTTAATTGCTATTGTAATTTTAGTTTTGAGTTTAATTGCTCCTTGCTGTTTCTATTTTATTCTATTCTTTTTTCTATACTTTTTAATTATAATTGTTTTTATCATTTATCTGTACTTATTTATGTCTGTTGCTGTACCACCTGAATTTCCTCTCTGACGGATCAATAAAGGATTATGTAATCTTATCTTATCTTATCTTATCTTGTCTTGTCTTAGTAAGGTATCCTGTGAAGAATAAATAATGGGTCAGCAGATATGTGTGACTGTCAGGCTTGCTATCAGGGAGTCAGATTGGAGAGGATGATCAGCCCAATGGATTTTATTGTAAGAAGGTAAAGAAGAACCAAGTAAGGATGAACTATTCATATAATACCAACTTCAGCTGAACTTACAATAACAGCCAAGTAACTGAAGTATGAGCTTACATCCTGTTTATTCAGGCCCAAATAGAGAAAGAAGACAAAAGTTCCCTTTTCCACTTACTGAAAGCTAACTCTGACGGAGATATACTCATTGCTGAACAGGAGGTTGGCATGAAGAGGAGAGTTCTCGCTATTATGATAGTATCAACAGCAGCAAAAACAACAATACCAATAATAATAGTAACAGAAATAATATATTAGTGGTAGTAATGACTATTCACTTGGTCCAGAAGGACACTTCAGCCAGAGAGAGCAAAGGGGCAGCAGCTGTGTGAAGCATGTGACTGTATTTGGATAAAAGACCTCAATTACAAAATATTAGACATGATACGACAAAGAAAAACACAATGTCCTGCTGAGCCCTAAGTGTGATGTCACTGCTACTGGAGCTACTGCTGATATTGTTATAACACCAGTAACATCAGACTAAGCACATCTCACATGTGG